TTTGGGGTTCTTGGGGTTTTCATGAGCTGTAAGCCATAATCATCACAATTATGACAAATCACGGCTTGAATTATCTTGCTTTGCATGTAATGAGTCTATCTCATATATTAGGTTCACCTTTTAAGTTGCATTAGTGAAATAAATGAACTTTGCACGATATTCTAATTATTCGAGTTTCACCTGTATATATATATATATATACACACACACACACTTCAGCCTTTTTTTCCAGTGGAATAATGAATCCTTTGTTTTTAACACAGGGAACTGAAAGAGAAGATCCAACCAGAAATCTTAGAACTGATAAAGCAACAAAGACTTAACCGACTTGTGGAAGGAACTTGCTTTAGAAAACTGAACAGTCGAAGGCGACAAGGTATGCTTTCTTTTTACTTATTTAACATTGAACAGGAGCTATAATCTTCAGAGTGCATGGACTGCTGTGGTTCACAACAAAAATAAAATATTACCAACTGCAGATAGCTTGGCACTTCGTACGTTTATGGATGTATTTCCTCCTGGATGTCATTATTCTTAAGCACCACAGATATATTTACTGGATATAGCAAGACTACATTTCATCATCATAATTTTTCACTTGTGTTCAATAAAGAATCCAGGAGGTAAAGGAAGAGCAACTTCTCTTTTTGTAGAACAGTTAATATTTCATAGTATGTAATAAATCTTTTTTTTTTCCCCAGAAAGACTATTTCAACAGGGATAGTGCATATTAATTCTTTAAAGCTACATTTTAACCAATAACATATGGAAAAGAGAAGGAGAGCAGAGGAGAGACTCTCATATTGTACTGACCGCTTCCAAAATCATATTGGAAAAGCGTGATAAATAAAAACTTGTGTTTTAATAACTTACATTGTAGGGGTTTCTAGAAACCTATTTGGAATCTGATATGGAGATTATATCTGTCTCCACTTAGACTTTTAGTTTCAACTTTCACTCTTGATGCCTGTGGTGATATTCCAGGACCTATTCAATCACTTTGATATAAGTCCCCCTGGGGTATATGGTGCAGCAGAGGTGCATAGAAAACCCTTTTCTCCTGGAATTATGTTTGAAAACAGCAAAGAGTGTGTTGCAATAAGGCCTCATGCACACACAACGCAAGTGTAAAATTGTATATTGCGTGTATGTGTGCACTATACGCAATCCCAGAATGCATCATTCGTAATAGAAATTTTAATTAACTGTATGTGCGTGTATATGCGCGTACAATACGCAGAAATACGTTGCCTGGACGCATCTCGGGTCCATTCTGTTTTTGCGCATCTTTACGCAGTTTCAATATACTGCTCCATACGCAGCTATGTGTATGGAGCCATTTATTTGCATATGCTGCATATGGGACAATACACGCATATACACAGCGTATTATACGACAGTGTGAATAAGGCCTAAAAGTTATGCTTATTTACAAACAAATATATTGTATCAAATTGATTTTTCACCATTAAAATTAAATTGGTTTTCAAATCATTTTTATACACAATTTTTATTTATAAACAACTTTCATCGCAGTCTGCAGTTCACGTTTTTTATGCTTGCAAGACATGCCTGATGTTTTTCTGGGTGCTTCTGCTACACATCTTCCAGGGGGATTGTTATCCTCACGATGGCATGCATGATCATTTTTAGCGCTTGTAGTTTCCAAGTATGTGATGACTGGAAATTATATGGTGTATGCAAGTCAGAAGACCACATTAGAAAAAAAAAGTAATAAGAATTAGTTTGTTGGGGAGGATGGAAATATTAATTCTTTGTTGTTCTATATCGTTAGTGGAGGCATAACCGATGGTCAATACTCGTGAGCTGAATGTGGTCTTTGTCTCCAGTTAGTTTTGCCTTCAGCAGCTTCTTAGTTGGTGTTCAATGCCTGTTTATCTGAATTTCTGCTTTAAAGCTAAATCTTGGGCCAGCAGCTAAATACGCACATGAAATACATGTATAGATATACTGTATATAATAGCGATTTTTGCCTGCCAAAAGATTTGTATTTCTGTCCATTTATTTCTAAGCTTGGGCACTTAGGCTGGCTGTGCCACCCAGCATAGCCAGCCTGGTGCCCTGACTTTTCACTACTGCAGTTATGTAATACAGCTAGGTTTTGTCTCCGCCCCCAGCCTGTGATAAACAGTGAAGGAGAAACAGCACACTGATGAACTCATCTCTTTGTTGCTCTGCTCTTTCCTCCTGTCAATATGTTCTTGCCAGCACATGAGCAGTGCAGAAACAACTGATTGGCTCCTTGTCCTGCCATTCTCTCTCCCAGCCTGAATACTGTTATACAGGGAATTGCAGGCGGCTGATTCCAAGTTAAGTTCAGGCACTAGTACACCAGTTGCTTTTAAAAATAAAAGAGGGACTCACCTATTTATACAGCAACATGTTTATAAGGACAAGTTACTCAAGTTTAGGTGGAGGGGATTAGAATCCACTACATCAACCCAAAGCTCCACATGTATAACATATGTTTTTTTTTTAGCTGTATTTAGTATTACTCAGAATCTACAATTTTTTTTATTTGTCTAGCATCACTTTTAGGCACTCTTCTAAAGCAAGATTATCTTTTTAATTTGTGACCCAGTTGTCTCATTATTTTTTCTAGTATAGTACAGTACATTCAGCCTCTTAATTCAGCCCCAGCAGGCCTGATTTTTTTCCCTTACCAACTGCCCACGTTATGGCTTATGAAAGCTTTTCTTGTGAACACAATGCTCTTGTAATAATCCTCTACAGAGTGTTTGAGATGAGAATGGGAGGCATGGATTTTCAAAGGCTATATCACAGCATCTGAGCTTCTCCGGTCGCCTTTTCTTTTTTATTTCAGTGAAGTTACAGAATTAAATGAATTGAATTGTGTAAAAGTTAATGCTTCACTCTCTGACTTGACAAATTGAAGTTTTGTCTTTTTCGCTTTCTGACCGAAAGGGCCATTTTCTTTTCATTAGAGACATGTATATGTTACATCACCTCTGAGTGACAGTTTTGCCGGGAGAGAGCCTATAAAAAAAAAATTCTGAATACTTCCTGAACAGCCAACAATACAGCAAGCATCAGCCCTGAAAAGATGCATTATGTAGCTCCAAATAGACATGTCACTCTTGTCAACACTTATATTCCCTTGAGTCCTATATCACATAAGAGCAAAAGCGGAGTAGATAGACACACATGTTAAGATTGATAGTGGGCTACATAAGAACTGAACACACATGACTGCCTCTATGAAGTCCCACAAGCCTTCAATTATAAATGGTGCAACGTTTTTTTTTACCTCAACTCAGGACATAATCTTTTTCAGTAAAAGGCAATTGAAGTTATACTATATATCTGAAAAATATGTTCTTTCAAGGCAATACATGTGTTAGCTCTGTATAAAACAGCCATTTGTTTTATATTGCATTACCTGAAATTATTCATTCACATATGTGGATTGGCCACAATGATTCCATTGGCCTGGATGCTGGTTCACCCAGATACTAAGAATATGTTAAAGTGTAATTGTTGGCAAACAGCTAAATACACTATTAAAATTGTTAGTTGTGTTCTGCCATGCCTGCCAAAAAAAATTTAATTCTACTAAGCCACTTTTCCAAAACACCTGCTAGATACTGTACAAAGTCCTGATTATTATTATTATTATTACAATTATAATAAAGGATTTATATAGCGCCAACAGTGCTTTACAATATATTTACTTTGTTCCCGTGCATTTGAAGCAATACGTCATGGTCAAGGTCGTGTTTGGATATGGAAGAAACAGCAGCTCACTGATCAAGTGCTCTTTGCTGTCTCCATGCTGCATTTGTTAGGTGCATAGCATTGTTCCTTCCTCTCCTAGTATGAATGCTAATATAAAGGAGGTTACAAAAGGCTTGTACATGGACAAATAGTATTTCTAATACAAGCCTGGAATTAATAGGGTTTTTTTTTTTTACAGTTCATCTCTGTACACTTACACTTTAAGGCTATATTAAAGTAGTCATAGCAGCAAAGAGAATATTTTCAATTTTTGGGTATTTTTTGCATTGATCTGGTGGTGCATATTATTATTTCACTAGCATTAAAGCATATGTCAAGGCAAAAAAATTTAATAAATAAATATAAAAACGTATTTAGCAAATTCTTGAAATATTTCTCCATGATTAATCTGTTTAAACACACTGCAAGTACAGAAAAAAAAGTTAATGTGCCTGAAATATAGTATGCCTCTACCTCTACTTTGACTTGACAACACAGCCCTGAATTTCTATGCATATGGTGTCAGCTCTACCTACTTAGCTACTGATTATAAAGAACACAGCCGTCTCCTCATCTCGTCTCTCTCCTCATCTCCATAACCCCTCCTTATGCACAGGCAGAGAGCATAGAAAGTTATCAGCTCTCAAGATTTCTGGTGAATGAACAGCTATAACAAAACATTTTCAATAGTATATTTAGCAGACCAAAAGGGGTCAAATAAGAGGAGTTCATTGTTAGGGGTTTACAAACACTTTAATGTTATTTTTATGGCCCATCTATGCATACTAATCTCAGCTATCATATAAGAATTGAGCACTCCCTGTTATCAGTATTGTTATACATTTGATTTTATCTTTTTCTTTTTAAAAAAAAATTGTGTTATTTTACTTTTTTCTATTTGTGACTATTTTTGTTTAGCGTCACCTAGGGACCCCCAGAGAAGCTGATGAAGCAGAGATCTGCTTCACCAGCTCCTCACCGGAGAGTGACACTGAATGCAGGAAGTGATGAAATATACATCACTTCCTGCATTCGGGGACAGGAGAAGAGATCAAAGGGAGATCGTGTATTGACCTCCCTTTGATCTCCACTGAGAGCGTCACCGTGCCGGTCCCAGCCGCACCAGGCACAGCGGATCTCGGGACTGGCAGGGGAGGTACATGGGAGGGCGTCAGTGCAAGCTACTGCAAGCGATCGGGCATCTCTAGAGACGCCCGATCGCTTGAATGTAAACAGCCATTGCTGGCTGTTTACATTGGTAACAGTTCCCCACTCGTGTGTGCGCTGAGTGCAGCGCACGAGCGGGGGGAGGGGCAAGACGTCTTAAGATGCCCTCCCACTCCTAGAAGACTCCCGTTCGGCTGTTCAGGAACGGCCATGGACGGGAGGTGGTTAAGTATGGAAATATTTGTCTGCTTCAGTCTCCGGTATGACAATGCATTCTAGTCTAGGCTACATTGTGCTCTGATTGTGTCCACTGGTTTGCCGCTGTATTAAAGAGTAGAGACGTGTAGATTAGCACCAATTGGGCACCACAATTATTCAACCTCCTTGCATTAAAGTTTTGAGATGAGATAGCAGCCACACAGGGAGTGCATTTTTTATTTTAATATTTATAAA